AGCTGTGTGGTTTTCCTCTCCCAGTTCCAGGTTTTAACCAGTTTGTCCCAGATCATTGGCACAGCCTGGTGGCTGGCCTTGGGAACGATTTAATGCCGTGGCTCTTTCTGACATTTCCTTTGTGTGTGGACTGTGGGCCCTTCCCTTCACATGTTCTCACGCACTCAGCTGTTCATTCTGCCACGAGTGCCTCCTTTCTCATGAATGTGTGATACATGTGTCTCTTCCTCTTTTCCTTTGGGTTGTTAACTTTTGATCAGCTATTTTAAGAGTGTTTCTCTCCGGCTTCTTCCTCCCCTCCCCCCCACCACCTCTTTTTTCATTTCCCTTTTTGTACCTACTTGTTTAGCCTAAAAACTTGCGGTTGTAAAAGTTTTCCTGAAATGTCTGAGTGTGTTTGGGGGACTAGGCTTGTTCCATGGGCTCCAGAGGCAGAGTGAAGATGGGAGGCGAGTAGTTAGTTACCTAGAGAGAGATTTCCTCTCAACCAAATTCAGTTGTCAGAATCCTCCAAAGTGGGATGGGAGTTATTGAACCAAGGTGAGGCTAGACAATGGCTTGGCCATAGTGTTGTTCATGGAGCGCCCTGTGCCTTGGGTGGGCAGCTGGGTCATCCCTTCCAATTTTACCAACAAAGCCCTGAACAGACTCTTTGAGCATGTCCAGAGTAGCAGCTCCTCTAACTGTGAGAGAGGGCCAGTACGTTAGAATATATATGTGTATATGTCCTGTGTCTTCCCCTAGGACTTTTGTCTTTCTGGTGGGTCAGGATGAGACACCATTACTGGCCCTTGAGTGGTATCGTGTATATTTAAAAATAATTCCAAAGCACCCCTCCATTCACAGCCCTCCACATAGGGCTGGTTGACCACCATTGACCTGAAGGCCGAGATTTCCCTCACTGCCCTCTCTTCCGTCCTTTTTTTCCGGTAGCAGTAGCTGTGAGGTAACGCTGTTCCCTTCGGTTATGTTTTTCGTTTCTTTAGTTTATTGAAGTCCTCACCCTGGGATTGCTTGCTCCCATTTTTTTTTTTTTTTTTTTTTCATAACAAACGTATCGTATTTTGGATACATTACCACAAAGAAAACAACTTAGAGGCTCTGCAGGTATGTTTTGACTTTTAAAGGTTTTTGACAGTGTTTAAAAGTTGAAAGTTTAATATAATAAATCTGGATTTCCACCTTCTCCTGGAAAACTAGATGATGTGGGCTCTTGGTGGCCTGTGTTCCCAGATGGTCCCAATCAGGTGGGGCTGGGGAGGGCTGCCCGTGAGGAGTAGCATGTTCCTTCCACTTGGTACATTCTTTCCCAACCCACGTCACTCCTTTGTTACCTGCCTAGACCCCAAAGGCATTTGAGTTTGTGGCTTTCTGAAGTGGGTAAAGTGGGTGAGCCTAGGAACCCAACTAGTGAGCTTAATATGATTTCAGTGGGAAAATTGATTCTAGCTTTTCAAGAGCAGATTTTCGAAATATCAAAAATACCAGTTTGGGAATGCTAATACAGGTTCTGTAACTAGCATGCATAGGTCTTAAGGTCTTCTATGCTGTGTGTTGGCTTAGCACCTAGAACGTACTTAATAAATGATTTACCTCTTGGGGTCACTGGGTGCCTGTTGTCTGCCCCCTCCCAGGTAGTGAATAGAAACACTGTCTCACTGTGGCCCACCTGTAGGTTCTGCCTGGGACTGAGACCATTGTCATTTTATCTAGAGCACTTTCTCTAGCCCTAGATATTTGTGTGGAGTTTGGGATTGGTCTCCTGCACAGGTACCGTGTCTTGAGAAAAATGGTTTCTTTCCCGATTAAAGATCCAGGGGCGCCTGGGTGGCTCAGTCGGTTAAGCGTCTGACTTCGGCTCAGGTCATGATCTCGCAGTCCATCAGTTTGAGCCCTGCATCAGGCTCTGTGCTGACAGCTCAGAGCCTGGAGCCTGCTTCAGATTCTGTGTTTCCCTCTTTCTCTGCCCCTCCCCTGCTCATGCTCTGTCTCTCTCTCTCAAAAGTAAAAAAAAATATTTAAAACAATTTTTTTAAAGAACCTTTTTAAAGGTGTCCTCATAGGGACACCTGGGTGGCTCAGTTGGTTAAATGTCCGACTCTTGATTTCAACTCGGGTCATGATCTCATGGTTCGTGAGCTCGGGCCCTGCGTCGGGCTCTGTGCTGATGGTGTGGAGTCTGCTTAGGATTCTTTCCCTCTCTCGCTATCTCGCTCTCAAAATAAACTAAAAAAAAAAAAAAAAAAGATCCAGTCCCCGTAGAGTAGGCCAAAATGAGGAAATGAGGGGACGGAGAAGCCTGCACTAAGCCTGCTCTCCTGCTGATGCCCACCAAACTGGAGTTTGTGGCAATTACAGAGCGATTGCATTCCAAAGCCTGGACGAGGCCTGGGTAAAAGTTCAGCTTATTCCCTGCAAAGAAAATACTTCGTCTTTGGCATTTCATAGTTTTGACCCAGATCAGTCAGAGGCCACGGAGAGCTTGCAACGTCTATAAAGCGTGCACAGCTTCCGAGGCCTGTAGCCGCAGAGAAGCCGAAGGGAGCCGGGGGCCTGCTGAGCTCGAGTTGAAGCCCTGCCTTTTCAAGTTTGCCGTGGCCCAGCCTTCCCGGGCCTCACAGGGTGGACGGAAGGAACCAGCACCTTCCCTCTGCTCCGAAGTTATCTTTACCCCCTGAAATCAAACACCACACGCAGCACCCTGTAAAACTGCTTCCTTGTAGGACTCAAGCGTGCTTGCTAAGTAAACATCCTCCCATGTTTTTAGAACTGAATTCGTTTCTGCTTCCTGGTCATCCCATTCGGGTTTTTCTGTCGTAGGCACCACGCAGAATCAGGTTAATAGAAGGAAGATCTAGCATGGGGCAGAGGCACCTAAAATGACTGTTTCAGTCCCAGTAAAAGTGTGAGAAGAGTAACACGGTCGTGGGAAGAAAAAGCAAAGACTTTTAGAAGAAAAGCAAAGTGAAACAAAGCCTCCCGAACTTAGTACTGTCCCAGTGCTGTTCGAGTCCAGAGTTGGGCCCTGCTGAGTCCCTGAAATGGGGACCTTTCTCTGCATGGACTCAAGCTCAGGTGTGCTGTGGTTGGAGAGTACAGTTGGCCCTCCTCAGTAAATTCCGCGGCTGTGTATGGCCCTCCTCTGACCCTGACTTGCTCCTTGCTCTGTCTCTCATGACTTATTTGCCTCTTCTCTCTCACTTCCGCCCACCCGTGACATCTCCATCGCCATGGCAGTGAGCAGCCACGTCATTCACCAAGTTCATGGGGTGATGGGCCAACTCTTCGGAGCCCTACTTCCCTCTGGTTCTCCCTCCTGAAGCAGGAGGCTCCCTGGCAGAGCTCAGAGCCCTTTGTTTATTTGATCCTGGGCTCTTGGATAAATCAGGAATGTCCTGACATGAACTTAGGCATGTTTTTCTTCCATGGAAAAGGAAACTACAGCAAATGGTATTTAAGTAGGCAGAGGACCATTCCGAGGGACTTGCTTTAGTGCCATCAAGGCCACATTCCTTTGGTCATCAGACCAGTAGGTGACTTCTTTATTGGCATGCACTACCCTGGAGCCCAGAAGGTGTGAATTTGAAGCACTTTCCCCCCTGCTGGGAGCCTGGCACAGATGCTCTGGGCTTCTTTTAAGCCCGTGGAGTGCCATGGTTGTCTTCCAAGTGGTCTTCTTTCTGCTGGGTGAAACCTTGGCCCCAAGTTGCCCAAAGAAGGCTGCTTGGGAAGCAGGGTGCAGGACAAGGTGGCCGCCTGGTCTTCCGTCCTCAAGTCCTCTTCCCAGAAGTCGCAAAGTTCTTGATGTGATACACCTTATGAGTCAGCTAGCTACCCGAGGACCTGAGTATATTTCTCACTTCTGGTCAGGTCTAGGCCCATAGAGCACAACTGGTCGTGGGAAACCTCTGTGGGTCTGTGTGCTTTCCACGTGGCGGTGTGGGAACCCAGCCTCCCTGGGTCTGTGTGGGTAGACAGGGTCTAGGGAGTTGGCTTCTAAGCTGTGCTGGATACATTTCTGGGTCTGGGGTCGGGAAAATGTTGGGAGCTATGTGCTTGGCTGCAGTGGAGACCTATCGGGATCCAAAAACAACCCCAGCCGGCCTTCAGAGTGTTGGTGGGAAAGCCCCAGCCCCGTGAGGGTTTCCAGGTGTGGGCAGGCCTCCCACCACCATCACGGGGCAGCCGGGGGTGAGCCGGCACGTGCTCGTGCCCCTGAGCTGCCCACCCGGAGTGAAGAACCCGGCCGTTGGCCACTCCAGGTCCAGGCTTGGCCGCTGTTCTGTTTTGCTGCTTTCCATGTTGTCAGAGGATCTTCTTGGGAACAAATGACTCAGCAACCTGAATCTCTGGGACTGAGTGGCCTAAGTGCCTTTTGAGAAGTGATTGGACATTTCCACCGAGGCCTGAAAATTCTGAGCCTGGAAAGAATGGAGATCCAGCCTGGTGTTACCCTGGCTCTTCAGGCTGCAGTTCAGTTAGGTTTCTCCCCCAGTCCTGCCCTGATAGAAGGATAGCATCCGTGGGGTAAGCGGGCAATGTTTTAATTACGCTTTTTTGTCCTTAGGAAATTCCAGGGAGAGAAAGGTCCTGGTTTGTGGCCAGAAAAGCAGAAAACAACAAAAGTCAGCTACAGGTCATTGTTCTGGACGTGTCTGTGGCACAAAGAGTTAATAGGACAGTGGTGTCAGGGTGAAGACCATTTTATTCTCCTGTGTGGGAGAAGTTCACAGGGTTCGAGAAGAGATGAGGCAACGTTTAGCATGGGACGGCCCTGTCTGGGTTCCAGGTGCTGTCACTCAAAGAGTTAAGCTAGTCTGGTGGCTGGGAAGCCGGCAGGGAAGGCGTGAGCCTGCAGGGACCAGGCCCTCTATGCCCCAGAGCAGTGAGGTGTGAGGGGTAAAAAAAAAAAAAAAAAAAAAAAAAAAGGGCAAAAAAGTGTGGCCAGGGGGCCGGGTGTAGGCCCAAATTTTTTTTTTTTTTTTTTTTTTTTGCCTTGTTTGACCAGCCTTGGCATTGCCCTCCGGCTCTCCAGGGGAAGAGCTGCAGTTCTGCTCTTGCAACACAAGGAGCAGACTGGAGAATTTAGATCTGCGTCACAGAGCTCAGAGAGAGAGAGAGGGGAGAGAGAGAGAGAGAGAGAGCGAGAGAGAGCGCTCCGTCGATAGGTCTGCTAGCAACAGCCGTGCTGCAGCAGAGAGAGAGAGAGAAATCAAGAAACAAGTCATAGCAACACCGGGCACCAGGTTCTGCCAGCTCACTTGCCAAGCGTTCAGAAATCTGTCGGGGGCTAGAGGCCTCTGGGTAGCCCGGGCTAAGGAGATGACACACAAGGTGGCACGGGCGGTTCCCGCGGGGGGGAGGTGGGTGGTGGTGGGGGGGCAGGGGTGGGAGCAAGAGGTTGCGGGGCGATGGTGGAAGGTTTAACGGGACCAATTTCTGGAACATTCGGGACTGCGGCACCCTACGGCCAAGACCGAGATTTGGGTCTGCGCAGGCGACGATGGGTGGTCCGACGGGCTTCAGGACTTGATGGCGTAACCCCCTTCTTCCCCCACGTACGTATCTGCTGGGATCGGGGGCGATGTCTCTGCGTATGTGGGTGCTCTGTCTTTCTCACCTTCTTTCTCGCTTTTTTGCTATTTTTTCTCTGAGAGAGGTTTTTTGTGTGTGTGTGTTTTTTTTTCCACTTTAATTTTCTTTTCTTTTAGTGTCAGCTGCTCAAGCCTGACCGGGGTAGAGGCTAGAGGAGCAAGCTGTCCCCAGCGTCCCACCTGACCTACCAGCCTTTGCCCCCGTTTCCTTCTTTTGAACAGACAGACAGACTGGTTTTCCAGGTTGTTTGGGTATCCGCGTCTGTCTGTCCATCCACGTCGTTCTTAGGTGGCAGGTAGGAAGTGAGGAGGAGAGGTGCTGGGAGGAAGGTGGAAAGCCATAGCTTTCCAGGGGTTGCCTTATTGAAATGTTCAGCCTCGGGGCAGCTGGGCTGGTGGGGAGCCGGTGGGCAGGATGGGGCGTGGGTTGGGAGAAGTGGGGTAAAGCTGGTAGGTTTGTCACTGCGTAGTTGGGAAAAGTGGGGAATGGTGACGCAGTCACTGTTGCATCTTGTTAGGAGCTCCAAGGGGGACAGGTAGTGAGGCTCCCGGCATCTGTAGGGCCAGCTGAGAGGGGTTAGGGATGAGCTGAGAAGGGAAGCTAGCATTTAGAGATTAAATGTCATCCTTTTGGCGTTGGAAAGTTGTTTACCTTGCGCTCTCTGTGTCTCCATGTTGGCACCCTTCCAGTTCACATGTGATGGCCTTCCTTGTACTGCTGCATCATTAACTAAGTGACTGAGCTGGCCTTCCATTGGCCAGGGGAGGGCTCTCACTCCAGACATTTCCTCTGATTGGTGGGTGGGCCAATGGCAGGTGAAAACCTTTTTTTGATTGGCTGAGGGCAGGGTATCAAATCTGAATTTGCATTTCACTTGCTTAAAGGGGAGGGGGGGAGAAGCCCAGCAGCTTTCTAAAATCTGTTTAGGGGTGTGCGTATGCTCCTGTGTCTGTGCCTGCTTTTGACTGACCAGGTGAAGCCTCTTCTATGCCTTTTTTATTTCAAGCACTCAGAGGAAGAGGAGCTCCGGGTTCCCCAAACTTTTTTTTTTTTTTTTTTTTGGAGTCCGAAGGGTTGGAGAGATGGGTGCGCAGAGGGTTGACCAAACTGGAAGGAAGTATTTGTCCTTTAGTTTGGTGTCGGAAAAGGGAATTTTCCAATCAGCCACACCTCGGTGTTGCGGCACAATAATTCTTGGCTCCCTTGGAAACGCACGGGGCAAGGTAGGACAGATCTGCTGCTGCTGACACTGCCACCACCATGGGCTTCCTGCTGCCTCTGGGCTGCTCCCTGGGGACGAGAGATTTGCATTGACGGGGCTGTCCAGAGCTGAGCCCAGTGTGGGAAAGACCTGCCTTCTGGAAGCTGCTGCTCCTTGGTCTTGGAAAGGTGAGGATGGGGACTGACCCCAGGATGTTGCTCAGAAACTGCGTATTTGGTGGGATTTCCGGGAGAGCCACTGGGCCGCAAGAGGTTTGGAGGTCCCAGGTTAGGAAGGTTTGTCATTCTGGGGAGTGAGGAGAGTGAGAGCAAAACTAGGGCAGCAGGCTGTTCGCCTGTGGTTGGGGGAGGGAGACTTGGAAAAATCAGGGTCCCGGCTCCCCATCGAGTCCGTGTTGCAGGTCTCACGTTTGTGGGGAGGGGGTTTCAGAGCCCTGCGCCTTGCGCAGTGGCCCCCGCCCATGACTGCGCATCCGGGAGCGCAATGCGCCCTGGGTCGCTGGCCTAGGACAGCACCGCCCTTCTTCTTACATAACGGAGGCACGGCTGTGCCTTCTCGGCCTTTCGTTGCAACCCTGCCTCCTGGCTCCCCAGGGCCCATGGAGCTGGGGAGGGTCTGGTTGGGGAGCCGGGGAAGACTTGGCTCCCTCGGAGGGTTAGCCCTCGTCCAGTCAGTGATGGGAGTTGGGTTTGAAGACAGAAGTGGGCTGCTGTCCCCCTTAGGAGGTGGAACGCAGAATGTCCTTCTCAATGCCCTGTGTCACCCATGGCCCCCAGGACCTCTCGGGGGCATGGGGTGTGACGTCCGTTCTTTCCTTCTTATGCTTTCTGGGTTTTGAGAGGAAGTTTCTGAAGGGAAAGACATGACGATTCTAAGAGTGAGGAAGGGTGTGTGTCGGGGGCCCAGTTGGGAGGTGGTTGACAGTTCACTCCCCTTGTCACTGGCTTCCCTTTCCTTGGGTGGGTTGATAGTGTTTTTGACTCCTTTTATCCTAAGGCTGCCATTTTGGAGGCATTTCTGCTGGTCTCTGACATGGTGGCGTTGGTTTTTCTGGTCCTGCTGTGCCAGTTCCGCAGAGTGGGCGGGGGGCGGGGGCTGTGACGGAGGAGGGGAGGGGGGGCAGAAGCGCAGCAGAGGCGGGCCCAGTGGTGGCTGCCGCAGTGAAGGTGGCCCCAGGGGCAGGACCGCCCAGTCCCACCCTCGGACACAGTCTTGGGTGGGGGTTCCACCACCTGGGGCCCCGGCTTGGCCAGAGGGTGGGCATTGCGAACAGAAGGCCTGGGTCTTCCATGCCCTCGTTGGCCTGAGGCTTAAAGCAGTCCAGGGCAGAAGCTGAGTTTTTTGGGGGGGGGGGCCCGTGCGTGTGGAGGGGGCGACTGAAGGCAGAGACCTGGCTGCTCATCTCAGACGTGTCGGACCTGTGGTTTGTGTTCCCCAAATAGGCTCTGTCTCCGGCAGTTTCTCTATGGGGACAAGGGGGTGGGGTCCAAGGCAGCTTTGAGGATTTGTTCGATGGCCCTCCCTTCTCATTGTTTTTCTTTTCTGCTCCTCGTCATGCCCCCTGCCAGTGCCACGGTTCCAGCTGTAGTCCTCCGGTGAGGCTCCCTGCTGCCCGTCCCTCTCCTTTCCAGGCCCTTCTGCGTGCAGCGGCCATCTTGTCTTTTCTTGCTTAGAGGTTTAAAATGGTTTCTCATCATTTCGAGAGTACAATTCCTTCCCTTTGGCACAGTGCTGAGGACTGTCTGTAACTAGCCTTAGCTCTCCTCTGCAGTCTTACTCTTCTGCGTTTCCCCAGGTGGACCACGTATTCCAACAAAGCCAGGCAACTTACTTTTTCTTGGTTTTCCTATCTCTCGGTTTTCCCTACTGGTATTTTCCATGCCTCCTTGGCTCCACCGCACCCACCTGCGGCAGCCCCACCGTCCTCCTTGGACCTTTCCCGATCACCTTCACAAGCAGCAGTCCTCGTAACCTCTCCTTGCTCCCTCCGGCCAAGCTCTCGTACACTTTGTCCCTCTTGTGTGCTACTTTGGTGGCCTTATGGCTCTTTGTGTAGAAGTCTTGGGTCACCTACGAGATGATGAGCTGCAAGACGCTGAGAGTCAAGGAAGGAAGACACTTAACCTATTTGGTGCCTTCTGTTCGCCAGGTGCCACGGCAGGCTGTTCCACGGACCTTCTTTCATTTACTGCTTTCCACAACCCTCCGAGGAGAGTCCCGTGACTGGTAAGTGTTCTGATCATGATTAGAACCCCTGTTTCCCCAAACCTTTGCCTTCTTCTTTGCCTCTCAATTCTCAGTGTCTGCCACGTGGCTCTTACAAGGTAGATCCCCAGAACGTGCCTGTTTAAGGAATTTCATACACCTCTAGTGCCATATGGGAGTTTGGGTGGCCGCTCTTCCTGCACCCGAGGTCTGGGTCTCGTAGCTGTTCCACGCTCCCCTGGACCCTGCTACCTCGTTAACTTTCTCCTCTTCCTTTGCGGTCAGGTTCACTCAGGATGATGGCTTTTTTTTTTTTTTTTTTTTTTTTTGTAGCTGAAATTTTGTTGGATTAACAAACCTCAGTTACCCCACTTACCTTCCTCCTGGAAGAGAAGGTGGAGGTGGGATGGTTGTAGTACCTTCAGAGCAGAGTGAGCTCCAGAACCCAGGATCAGTGGAGATCGGACAAGGCAGGGAGCAGGACCATTGCACTTGGATCTTGACCCTGCCTCATCTTGTTAGGTGGTTTTTCTGAGGCTTAGTGACCTCAGTCAGTGACATGGAGCCACTGTAATCTACAGTGAAATGCCTAACATATTGCCAAGCAAACAGGCTCCCGACAGAAAGTGGTGCACCTCCCTTTCCCCTGCCCAGCTGTTTTATCAGGGACTTAAGAAGAGTACGTAGCAGGTGGCTGGAGAAGGAATGGGGGGAAGGGAGCTTGCCTGCCTTCAGTGATACCAGAGGCAGGGGAGGAGGTGACCGGGCATTGCACACCTGAAGCCTGCGAGGAAGTGCTTTTCCCTGACCTGGAGTAAAGACCCCCTTAACTTCTGCATCGGGAAAACGCTGTGGGAGCAGAGCCGTGAGGTCAGGGTGGGTGGTGGCAGCGTGAGGGTTAACCAGTGATCCTTCCTGGGAGCCTCGTGACGCCAGGTTAGCTTCCCCTCTTTCCGAATCGAATCGCAGCAGTGGCTGCCTGCTTCCTGACGCTGCTGCATCCCGTGGGAGGGGAGTTGGGCACCCTGAAGCCCCTCGTCACCGATTCCGGGGCTGCAGAGCAGAGAGTGACGACAGCCCATGAGTCGTCAGCCGACGGCAATGGGGACCCTGGTGACGGCTGCTTTGTTGTGTTTTTCCTCTTTGGATGATGACTCAGTGTGTCGGGAGCTGGGAGATGGGGCACTCAGCCGAATGGCCAGGACGTTCTGTCAACATGAAAGCAGCAAAAACAGCTTATCGGGGCTCAGAGCCGACCCTTAGGCTGGGTTCATTTTCAGGAAGGGCTTGGCAGAGAAGAGCACTTCTGGACATCGGGGGTGGGGAGACAAGGCCAGGTAACCCAACAGGGGTCTGTGGACCCTTCAGTTTTAGAAACCAAAAAGAAAATGCAGCTGCTTGTGTTATTAGATAAGCTTGGCAAACCGTCATTTTACAAGCTCCTCTCACCCGTCCCAAACAAGAGACATCTTCTCTGGGCCAGAAAACCCTCCGGGATTTCTCACCATGGCTCATTGTCATAGATGGAGGGTGAGCCTGTCTCGGGTAGGGTGGGCCTGGGAGTCCTTAGTGATCACTGGCATTCCAGGGCCCCGGAAGCAAGAGCCCATGGTGGGGACATGGCGTCTCAGGTGACCTCTGCTGGCATCACACCAGCAGATGGTGTCACCCACCAGAAGATGGTGGGTCCACGTCACCGGCCTCAAGCTGAAGGCCAGCTCTGGCGCAGCCTACTTCAGCCTCCCCTTTCCTTATTGTCCCGAGTCAAACTTACCTTCTCCCCTTTCATCGTCCTCAATTCCTTCTTAGGTGAAATAGTGGGCCTTGAGTCCTTGACCTTTGTGTGTGTGTGTGTGTGCGTCATCATGGCGGCTCAGGGTTCTAGACTTTTCTTGAATCTGCAGCATTGCGCTAAGGGCGCGTGACATTCCCCCCCGCCCCGCCCGCCCGGCCCCGCCCAACCATGGCCAGCCATGCCTTCTTGGGAGCAAGAGAGGCCTGGGCCTCCATTGCCACTGAATCTCAGGCAAACCACTATCCTCAGCATCTGGCTTCCCTTCTCTCCTCTGTCTCCCTCGGCCCTGTCTGGGGACAGAGGAGCAAACAACTTGTGGGTGGGGAATTGAGGACGGCCTGGCCCGGGACCACCCTGCCTATGTACCCCTTAGGCCATTTTTCAGTCTCCTGCTTTCCCATGGATGATGCTTAGCACTGGCATTTGTCGTCGAGCACCTCCTCCGCTCCCCAAGGGCCTCCCAGTGTGACTCATTTGGGATCTCTGCAAGGAGTGGCTTTGGGGCCTTGGGAGCCAGAGGGAGTAGGAAGACCTGGTGGAGGTCACAGTGGAGAGGTACGCAGGGCAAAGGACGAGAGCCGGCTGTCCCTGGCCCAGAATGCAAAGGCAGCCCCAGCCCCTTTGTGTCATGTCATTTTGAGCCTGAATAGAGAGCAACTTGACCTAAAAAAAATCGTATATATGTGGATGTTAGATCCTTTGTGTCTCTTTGTCCAGAAGCTGCGCATATGATGAGGGCTCAAATTCTGTACTTCAGAGAGCTCTGCTGTCCCTCAGGTTTGTTTTCCGAAGGAGGTGGTAGTTCCTCTTTGATGAGACCCTGTGCCCACGGGGACCGGACTTTTCTCCAGGACAAGGGGCACAGCCTTGTCTTGTTGCTGTCATTGGATAGTGAGCAGCAGCTGAAGACCATACCATGGTCCCGGGGCCATATATTAGCCCCAGATGGGACCCCGATTGGGGCTTGCAGAATTCATTGCTTGGCTGGCTGGCCCCAAGAGCTGAGCCTACCTGGCTTCCTTTCACTTCTTCCCCACAGAGAACTCAGAGGTGTTGAGCTCCATGAGTCGGTGACAGCCTCTGGGAGACTCGGGCTAAGCTGGGGACAGAGCTGGTGTGCAGAAGACAGCCATCATACCGCCTAATAGAATGGCCCGTTTGCATTTATTTGGAACAAAAAAAGGAGATGCCTGGCAGCCTGGCTTTCTGCAGCTAAGTATTCGTCTGCATTCTGGTTTTCCGTCACACATCGGAAGCGATAGATGTTCATTGAACCCACCCAGCTGCCGTGACTTTTCCTTTCCCCGCGCACCCCTGCCCCTGATCCTCCAGCAGAGATTGGATTTTCTGGTGCGGCTGGAGAGCTGCAGAGAGGCTAGATCCCAGTGTCCAGCTCCCGCACATCGCCCTCACATTCAGGAGAAGTCGATTTTCCCTAAAGGGGAGCCTAAAGCCCATGTCCCTCAGTGCGGTGTTATTAATGGGCCGATGGGAAGGGCCCTGCTTGCCCTCACTGCCCCCAGCGGGGAGGTGAGGCTCTCGGCTGGTTGGCTGGGGGAGGACGGTCCTTGCCAGCATCTAGCATGGTTCTCTGCCAAGTTCTAGCTCCAAATCTCTAGGCCGCTAGGAACCTAGACTATATATAGCATTGTGCTAAGCAATTCTTATCGGACATGTCTGCCCTCCCCTGCGGGAGAGGAGCCCTTCTCCCAGGGAACCGGAACCTAGAGAGTGTGAGCCTTCTCCAAGGGGTCTTTCGTTCCAGGAAGGGCTGTGTGTGTGTGTGCGTGTGTGTGTGTGTGCGCGCGCGCGCGCGTGGCTGTGTCTGCTTCAGGGCTGCCAAGCTTTCTTTCCTTTTCCCTGTTTCAGATGCTGCGAGATTGGACGGTCTGATTGGGATGAGGGCCAGGAGGTTCTTGATGGTGTGCGATGTGGCCTATGGCGCCCACCAGCCTCCCGCATGTCTTCTTGGTTTCCTGTTTGCCTTCTTTGCCCAAGGAGGTCTTCTGACCTCTTGAGCCTCTTTTGGATCTCCTGTCTTCCCTGCCCTCCTCTACCTCTTCCTCCTCCTTCCTTTGATTCTCTTTCGGGTGTGTGACGGCAGACTGGGCTACGGGCATCCGGGAGCTGTGTCTGCTCGCCGCCCTCACCACCGCCCCCCCCCCCCCCCCCCCACCAGTTTGGGGTTTCTGGAAATCTGGCTTTAGTCAGCCGTCCTCTGGAGGAATTGGGTGGTGACTGAGCGTTTCGTGCTGGGTGGTACAGGGCAGAGCAGGCTGGATATTTGCCTCCTCCCTCCCGTAGGTGCTGTCGAGCCACCGATTTTCTGTGGTTCCGCGACCCCGAGTGCTGACTGATGTGACAGGTTCCGGTCTTGTCAGTGAATCATCGCCAAGCTGCTTATTGGAACCCAGATGCAGCAAGAAAATGGGATTTAACCCCTTCCCAGCCTCTCAGGTAAGTCAGGTGTGGGCTGACGCTTCCGGCCCCACCCCCCCACCTCCCAGCCCCCTTCCCTTCTCATGGAGACCGTTTTCCTTAGTCAGTGGGGAATCCTCAAACGTCTCCATTCACAATCTCCCAAACAATGCTCTCTTCTTTCCATTCTCCTACTCCTGGCTTTTCTGTGAATGGGGTTAGTAACCAGCAAGGACTTGGGGGAAGGGCCAGCCACAGTGATCCGGCTGCTGGGATGTGGGAGATGGCAGGGACGCGTTTCTGGGTGTGGCAGTCAGTAGAGCAGTTGGGCCTCCCACAGTGACTGGCCGGGAACTCTCCTTGGCCCCCAACATCCAGCATGAGATTCTTGGTTTGAGCCCGGTTGGGGGCAGGGAGTCTGCCTGGGACTTGGGTGTGCCCTTGCTTGTGTATCCCAGTGGATGTTCACTCTGACTCTGGACACCTTGGGGCTTGCGTCTGCAGCCATAGCCTGGAGTTTAGACTATGGGCTGGGCAGTAGACTTCAGGGCTCTTTCTCCACTTGCGTGTGTCATGGGGCTTGTTCTGGGGGGTTTTTTGTTTGTTTTTTGTTTTGAGTAAATCACTCTCTTCCTCTAGGCCCTCATTGCCTTCACCTTAAAAAAAAAAAAAAAAAAAAAAAAAGATCCTGGCCTGGTAAACCATTGCAAAGCATCTCCAGGCTGTTGACGTACAAATTTTTTTTCTCTGCCTCACTTGATGCTGGTCACAGTAATAGCAACGGTGATTAAAAATGATGTTGGGACTGCAGAACTGGGGAGGCCTGTCGCATTCTAGAGACAGTTCAGAAAGCAGACCGTAGTCGCTTGCCACGCTGCCTACCAGGAAATCTCCTATTGAATGCATTCCTGCAATGTTCTGGGCGAGCAGGGTCAGGTTGGAATTAGCCGACAGCGGATTTGTCTGGGGTCTCAAGATAAAAGGGATGGTCCCCGGTAATTTTACCGCACACTTGGCTGATATCTGGAGGCACCTGTGGGATCCCACCTCTGCTCTCCCCACCCCCTTCCCACCGCTGGCCAGGAAGGACCGGTGAGTTCTGCCCGTCAGTGTTTTATCTTCTCTCCTCCCTATCTGACCGGAGGCTGAGCTGGCTGCGAGCAGCCGGAGGTCCTCCCCGAGTGAGGAATCCGAGGCTGTTGGGAAGAGACACCCGACTCTTCTCTTCCCTGAAGGAATTTGACAAGTCTCAGCCCCTCCAGCAGTAACGTGGGGAGGGGATGGCTGGGGGTGTTGGACCTGGAACACGAATAAAGAGGAGAGATCAGCTTTGGTGCAGCTGGGGAGACGAGGAGGAGCCGGCCAAGTCCCTCAAGATGTGTCGGCTAGAGTCTGGCCAGTGCAGGCTGCCGGGCCGGAGCCAGATGGAGCCGCTGGCCACGCTCAGGAGCCTCTGCCCCCATATGGTGTGGTGTGGTCCCGGGCCTGGCTCAGGGTGGCCGCTGCTCCCATTCACAGCCCTGCCCTTGGCTGGACTGGGAAGATCAGAGTGGGAAGCGGAGGGAAAGTTGATTTTGCTCCTTGTGACGCAGTTGTCTGCGGGGCCTCTGGCGTTTCCAGACTTGGGGTGGGTGCTTCCCCGTTGATTTTCCTCATTTTGTTCGTCATCTGCTTCCTTGCTCCCTGCTTACCGGGCTGGCTTCTGCTGCCATAACACGGGCGTTACGTGTCCCCAGCCAAGCTAGTACCACGGTTGGCGTCCCCTGAGAGGGGGACCGGGCATATCTGGCACTCGGTTCTCAACCTTTGAACCCCTGTGCTCTGGGAGCCAGGAGGCAGAGTGGGGCCTCTCCATCCGGGGTCCAGCAGAGGTTAACAGGGCTGGTGGTGCCGGAGCTGCGGTGGTGTGGCCTGGCCAGGAGGCGCTGGGGAGGGGCCCCGCCGGGGGACCTGATTGGTCAGCACCTTCTCTGTTCCACTGAATCCTGAGCCGGTCGGGGCCGTGAATTGTTTAATGCATATCTTGGCTCTGTCCCCTGGCACGAGGGCCTCCGAGGCTGCAGCCACAGCTTTAGCGAGGATGTGTACCTCGTGCTGGTCACTGTTTTGGGCACGTTGCCTCCCTGTGAGATATGAAAGAGATACTGCCCTTTCCACTAGCAGGCTGTCTGTGGGAGGCCCTCCTTTTGCGTTGCTTTTCTGGGCCTTGGAGTGTCTGTGAAGAAGGCCTAGGCTGGGTTTGATTCCTTGCCGACTCCTTTCACAGGAGGCTGCTCGTGAGCCGGTGAAGCCAGAGAAAACCTCCAGGCCCCAAGGCCCGTGCACAGCCTGATGCGATAGTGTCGGGCCTGGGCAGGAAGGAGCAGGGGCACGAGGATGGAGCGAGGCACGCGGGGACGTGGTCGCGCATCGTCTGACCACAGGATCAGGGCAGCGGGGGTGGGGTGGGAGGATGCGTCCGGCGTTCAACCAGCGGTGCCCGCTGCAGCCTGGAATGGGCCTGTGTGTGCGTGGAGCCCAGGTCAGGGTCTGTAATGAGGCGTGAGGCTATGAGATGGGCATCGGGACTCTTGGTCCCGGCAGAGGGTCCCAGGAAAGGGAAACTGACTTTCGCTAAGCGTCTGTCTTTGCTGGTCTGATTTCATCCTCAGAGCAACCGCATGAAGTAGGTATTACTTCCCTTCAACAGATAAGGAAGCCGTGCGTAGTAATTCACTGAACCAAGGTCACATACTTGGCAAGTGGGATTGTTGAGCTTTAAACCCCGGCACTTTGGATTCCAAAGCCTGTGCTTTTTCTTCGCCCTCTTGGGTGGAAGTCAGACATCTTTGGGAGCTAAGACCATCAGAGATCGGGCAGCCGGGAGATCTGACGGAAACCGGTGTGAAAGGCCAGGTGTCTAGGGGGACGTGGCAGCCACTGGCCATAGCCATGCCATATCCCTTTCGGGGGGAGGGGGGCAAGGCAGAGACAGCTAGTTTCTGGTGTCCCTGAACAGGCAGGGCTGAGCATGGCAGATACACCCACGCCACAAGTGTGCGCCCAGTCTCTGCTTCGTGGCGGGGCGTGTGCTAGGAGCTGGGGACGCAGAACTCTACAAAACCAAGTTTCTGCTCTCCTGGGATGTACTTTCTGGTGTAGGGAGAGGTCGTTCACGATAATACAAAAGGAATTAGGAACTATATAAAGTATGCAGATACAAAAAGGGGGACACCCACCCATAAGAAGCAGCAATCCCAATGTTGGTCGGGGAGGGAATTTGAGAGACTGAAGGATCTCGACCACCTGGGGAAGCCATATTGATGGAGCCCCCAGAGTTCAAGTTGATACAGTTGCTAATGCCTCTCTTTTCCTAAGAGCTGGAAAAACCACCCAAGGTCCCCAAAGCTTACAAGACACATGCAGTGAGTCAGGGATCAAGGTGGCAGTAGACGTCAAGCCGTTGGTCACCAGCAAACGGAGGTTTTTCTGTTAGCCATGGCTGCTCTTGGCCTAATGTCTCCCCCCCTCACCAGGTGGCAGCTGGCGCCTCTCTGCCTCGTCACGGTGCCCCTCTCTCGTCCACACCGACAGGGGAGCGCTCGGGTTAAGTCTTCGCCAAGTCACCAGTAAAATATGTGCCTGCAGGAGACAGAACTCAGCTCAGGCTCTCCTGGCAGAACCCGCGGTTCCAAGATTATCGCGATAGGGACAGGTCAGGGGACGGGAGAGGGAGGAGAAGTCACCTTGTGCCAGATGCTTGGACAAGTTTTGTGTCCAAAAGAGGTTGAGGCAAGTTGGTGGCTGGAGATGGGGGAGGGGATGTCTCCAGCGTGTGCGGCTCCAGGGCTCAGGAGTTGTTTACAGGGTAGAAGCTTAGGGTGAGTCAGGCCACGTGATTCTTCCCTCCCTGGCCCCGTGGTCGAAGCCTGCCCCACTTGAACCTCGGAGACTGCCACCTGCTGCCAGGGGGCAGATGTTGCACGAAGGTGCAGTGTGGGTCTTGGGGTGTGGTTGTGGGAACTCCGGGAAAGGGGGCGTTCTGTGGCGTTGTATAGAAGTCTCCACAGTCCCGTGTTCTGGCCCAGGATCCTGTGGTAAAATCTTACTCACTTTACCCTTTTGGGACTCACTTTCATTATTTCTAAGATGAGGGGGTTGAACCAGAATCTTTTGGGAGGTGCCTGCCGACTCTGACATGGGGGCTACCTGGGTGTTGGCGGAGGTGTTTCTTAGGCAGAAACTCAGGTCGGGAACGAGCAGGCCTGACTTACGGGAGAGGGGAGGGGCCTTGAAGGATCTGAGAACAGCTACAGTCCTGTTTTCTGCAGGGATGCTGTCACCATCAATTAGGGCAGGTGGGTGGAGACAGTTTTCCAGGAACTCTTCAGGAGCGCGCGGGAAGGGGCCGGAGATTGCGTGAAGGTGTCTCAGGAAGGTCACCCAAGTGACAGGGGTTGTGACCTCTGGCTCCCACCAAGGGGCCTGTCTGGAGCCGGGCAGTGTGGGGGTCTTTGCTGTGCCACAGGGGCTGACTGAGATGCCACCGTGCTCTAGGGAAGATGCTCTGTCCTTTGTGGCCCTGAATCCTTGAGGGAACGCGGGACTACTGGTCCCGTGTCCTGGGCCTTCCCTGAGACGTCTGTTCAGGGTCTGTGCCCCTTGCTGTCAGGAAGTCTTCCTTTATATTTAGCCATTTTTTTCTCATGTGGTTGTTTAAGCTCTTCTATTTAAAAAAAAAAAAAAAAAGACAAGAGAAAAAAAAAACAAAAAACAAAAACAAAAATATCTCTGAGCCGCTTGGTTCCATTTTAGCTTTTCAGTCTTGAGTCACTGTTTTGAAGGTAGCAAAAGTAAAACACATGCAGGGAAGCTCAAGGCCCCAGACCCTCGTGGGCTGTTGTGAAAGGCCAGCCCGGGGATATGGCGGCCTCTGTCCCCAACGTCCGCCGCTTCTCCAAGGCTGCGTAGGTAGGAGCCCCTGGGGCTGCGGGCACGTGCTGCGCGGGCCGCCGAATGGAATGCAGGGTTTTCAAATTAGCAATATGCCTTCAAGACACGATCCGTGTGCTGCTTTACTGGACACTTACGCTGGGACTCGTAGCTGTGAGCCCGCCCCCTTCCCCACCAGGGTGGGGTGGCAAACAGGGATTTGGGCCAGGATTCAGGCAGGAGCCGAACTGATCCGTGACCGACGTCTTATGTGCACCGTGTGTTGTTTTTGCAGCTCTTTTCAGATTCGCTGGCTCGCTTGGTCCTCACACAGCCCTGTGAGGGTCGGCGGTGGGATCCCCGTGGGTGTTCAAGCTCAGCCTCAGACAGCCCTGCTGAGGTCCGGTTTCTTGTACCTGCTTAATTTGGGTCACTGCACCCCCCCCCCCCCCCCCCCCGCCCCCAGGCCCTCCAACTCCAGATGTCATTTCCTTGGGTTTCAGTTGTGCTCTTTAGCTGAGCAGGGGGGCAGGGCAGGGATGGGGAGTGCATCTTGGGTAGCCGACTTGATCTCTGTAGGTTGCAGGTTTCTTTTCTACGCATTGAATGGGGAAGGGAGCCTCCGCCCAGGTTCTCCTGTTCTTGGATTGTTTCAACTTCTCTTACAAGGAGTTCTTATGAAACCTGGCTTGCCCTCCTTGACCAGGAAGCCAGCCATTCACCATGTGTCTCTGGTGAGACTCCCTACGTTTGGAAGCTTCTGGAATATACGGTGCTTTAGACCGTTCCGACACATCTGTCGGGCACTTCAGGCATGTGCATGTAGCCCTGTTTCTGCCAAGTGGCTCACTTAGAAATGAAGCCCCATTGTGGGGCATTTTTTTTCCAACAGACTTATAAGGTATGCCCAGAGCTTTCTGCCCAGCGTGTGCATCGTGTATACGTTATCTGTTTGCTGGCTAATTAACGTACAGCACCCGCTGGAAGGATTGGCCAATGTATACTGTAAGCTGGTGGAACCAGTGGCTTCAGCTCTGAACGTTGCTTTCTGATAGAGTTGAAAAAGTAGGCCTTACCCACAGAGGGGAAGGTGGATCAGAGAACGCCTGGGCATCAGTGTTCCCTGGATACTGGGCGTAAGCCCACTCTTTATGAGGAGGGTCGAGGCACAGCCTGGACTGTGTCTTCTGGGCCGCGTGGCCCTCTGAGTGGCCTTTATTCAGAGAGACCCAGAGCGAGCCTGTATGAAGGGAGAGAGAAGTGCTTGTCTTTGTTTATGGCACCCTTCACTCGTGATGGTTTGGGCTCACCTCGGGCACGTTTCTTGAAGGATCGGGTTCGGACAGCGTGGCAGCACGCATATGTCTGTCCGTTTGTGTTCCCCGGATGCAGGCTTGGCTCGTAGAGAAGCCCTGCCATGGGGAATCCATAGAAGAATTGTTTTGCTGGAGCGAAGGCTTTTGATAACTTTTGTGTGAAGATGTGTCACACCACACCCAGATCTTTCTGTTCTCCTGGAGGATGGGAAGGAGGATGGCAGGACCTGTAGCTGGGAGGCGATCTAGGCCAGCCTTCAGGGAGGGCTGTGGCGGCCTCTTCGCTGAGGGCTCCCAAAGAGACACAGAGCTTCTTTATCTCAGAAGAGGGACTGGATGTCCCTGTCGAGGTCCCTCGGGTCCTGAGCGTGTGGGACTGTGAGGCTCTCCCTGGAACAGCGTGAACTTCGGGTACCGGGACCCAGAGCAGGTTGCACATCTTTTCTTTCTGCCGTGGAGGCAAGCCTAACCTCGGTGGGCCCCACGAGCATCGGGCCTGGAGCTCTAACCTTGTTCCCTCGTGCAGAGAGAATTCCCAGAACTGACCCGAACAGCATTGATATTATTTGCAAATAAAAAAAGGAGAAAGCCATGTTGTCCCTCATCGCTGCCAGGGAAGAGCCCTGAGCGGCTCTAATCCTTTCTTTGTACCACTGCCACTCCCCACCCTTGCTGACCCCCCCAGCCTAGGGCCCTTTGATAGGCACTAGAGATGTGAATGAGTTTGGTGGGAAGGCCAAGGGCAGGGACAGACATGGTTTGCTGGGAAGAAGGTCGGACAAGGAAAAGGAGTATCTCAGGGCAGGCCCACGGGCACACATGTGTATTCAGATGGACGTACTATTTACTGGTAACGCCAGAGTCTGACATGAACCAGTTAATGCCTAAATGAGGGTTGATTTCGTGTGGAGAATCATACATCATTTTGTGTTTAAGTCTGCAGCTTTAGCATCAAAAGGCCTGACAGGCTGGGGACTTTTCGCTGGGCCCTCCTGTCTGTAAGATCATGCTCATTTTATATTGATTTTCTGTCTCCTTCCTTTCCTGTTTTCCACTCTCATGCATTCCTTAGGCGTACATGAATATTTGTCCACGCATTCGTGTTACGACTTCCTTGGGGTACTGTTCTTTTCAGTGTCTCCGACATCATTGAATGTATTGCTTTTATTTAAAATGTGAACAGGCCAGAGGCTCACTGCAGAGGGGAGCCATCCTTGCACTGCCCACAGAATCCTCTTCTCCACCTTGTTCTGGAGTAGGGCATGTGGAGCCCTGAGGAGACGGGAATCAAGGGTGTCTGTGGGAACCAGCCAGACCCCGTGCCATGCCCCCTCTTTGGGAAGGGATTGCTCAGGCATGAATCCCCCACCCCTAACGTTATTAGCAGTTTCTTCTTTTCAGCTTGAACCCTGAGTAGTGGCCTTGAAAGTCCCAGAACACCTGTCACCCTGCTTAGGTGAGGGCGACAGAGAGGGACGGGGACAGACGGGAAGGGGACACACGCTCCTGGCCACGGGCCTCTCTCCAAGACAGGTGAACTCTGTGTTCCAAAAGGAACTCATTTAATCTTTTGGCCCCAATGGAAGTTGTTTGTATTTTCTCTCCCTCTCTCTTCTCCCTCCTCTCTCTCTCCCTCAACACCCCCGCCTCCACCCTCCAGCCTCCAAAAGAATTTAATCTGCTGGACAACAAACAATACTGTTATAAAACTTTGAAAACAAGAGGGTGAGGCCTCCCTGACAAGGAGAAGGGCATGCCGGGTAACGGCCGAGGGAGCCTGCCAGGCCCGGGACGGAGCCGGGCGAGGGCCCAGTTGGCCGGGTACCTGGGCGCCTGCCCCCACCCAGCCCACCAGCTCAGCCATCCCCAGTCCAGAGGGGAAGGAACCGAAACAAAAGCAGGGGCAGAGAAGCGCCTGGAAAGGGGAAGTTGTACGTGTTCCCCTCTCTCTGATCTGATGCGAGTGCGCCAGACTGTGAAACTTCCTCCCCCACCCCTCCCCCGCCAGCCTCCCTCCCTCCTCGTCCTGCCTCCTCCTGCCTCCTCCCACCACTCTCTGTTCCAGGCCCGAGGCCCGACAACAGAACAGGGCTGGCCTAGGTACAGCCACCGGCCGGCCGGCCGGCTGCAGGGGAAGCAGGCAAGGAAGGTGTTCCAAGTTGGCTTTGGACTCTGGACGTACCCTCTGCGTCCCCTTCCTGCCCCCAGCTAGAGATGTGGAGCCGCGGTGCGAGGTGTGCCCCAGTCCACGTGCCCCGCCAGGGGTGTGCCCAGCTACCGGGAGAACCTCCGCTCGGAGGTTAGTGGGTCTGTCCCACTACCCGGTGTCTGCTGGAGGCCATGCTCCCAGGAGGCCGTCAGACTCGTACAGGTGGCCTGCTCTCCCTCCAGAGGGAGCCGGGCTGAGCTGTGGAGCCCTGGAGCCTCCAGAGGGGCTCAGGGGACAGAGACTTGCTCCCCGCAGCAAGCAGGCACAGGGGCCTGGCAGCGGGGTGCCTGGTGGGGCACGGTGTCTGCTGCTCGGGGTGACCCAGCTCTGCCTGGGGAGCAGGCAAGCTGGGCGCTGGGGCATCGCCCCCCAGCCTTCTGAGTGGATTTCACCTGAGACCGAAGTTTCGCTGCCACGCCCACCTGCACTGCGTGGGGCACATGATTTGGGACGGGAGAGTGAGAAGCAGCGGTGGTCTGCCTTTGGCCCGAGGTCGTTTGGACCCGTGAACCGTGTGGTGGGCATTGTGTTTGTGTAATGGACTGTAGGCGTGCTCGCTTTCCTCTCGTGGGAAGCAGTTCAGGGCAGTGCCCGTCCTCCTGCTCTGCCTGAGCGAAGCCTCTCTCTGGGGAAGCGTGGGGGGGGCCCCCCCCCCTTCATTCCCGCGCCCCCCCCTCCCTGCGGCCCCCCCCTCCCCCCCCCCCCCCCCCCCCCACGCCCCACAGCACCCCAAGGCATCCCATCCTCCCAGCCAGCCGACCAGCCATCCCGAGCCTGGGCCTGTACTGAATCTGGAGGATTCCCAGATGCGGGTCTTCTCTGGTGTTGAGGCAGGGACAGAGAACCGAACCGGGTGGAAAGCAGCTGCCTGGGAAGTCAGGCCGCGGTACCCCGGCCCCAGGGAAAACCGGCATTGCTGATGTGGGGCCCATGTGATATGAGAAGGCTGTGACCTCCTGCCCTGTTACCTCCACAGGCATTTGAGGGGCTCAGTGGGTCTAGAGCGTGTTATTCTCACTTCGGGATGCCGGGTCTGGGACGCGTAGGGATCCCTGGATGCCCCGCCCTCCTTTTGGGGGCCAAGCTGCCAGGAAAAGAGGCAGCTCCGTGTTTCCTGCCTCCCTCACCCTCCGTTCCCTCCTCCCTTGCCCCCCGTGCACATACCCATACACATTTTATCACCCTTTCCTCTGATTCATTAACCACAGCTAGTTGGCACCAGGCCCCCACCCTGACAGCTCAAGACAAAATGTCCAGGACACGGGGTCTGGCCTGGAGCTGAGTGACAGGAAGCTGGGCCGGGCCTCTCAGCTCACGCATACAATGGGCAAGGACCGTGTGGAGTGCAGAACCTTCCTCATTTTCAAAAGGGTCTTCCCCAGGCCCCTCTCTCTCACCAAGATGACTCTTCTTCGCTGCCAGGAGCCCGGAAACCAGCATCCCGGGTAGCAGGAAGACCTGATCTGGGCTCTGCTTCCGGCACCCCTCCCCCGCGCCGGCTGGAGCTTGCGTCAGTCATGTAAGTAGCCGTGACTCAGCACCCAGCCTGGTCGGGAGGGAGGCAGAAGACGCCTCCCAGGAACCTTCCCAGCATTCTGGATTGGAACACATGGTGGTAGCTGAACACACTGAACGAGCTGGCGGCCTTCGGTTCCTGGGGGTGCGTGTCTGTCCGTTCCGCGGGTTTGCTTATAGGTCTCATAAACCGGGGTTCCTCTCCTTCCCGTTTTCATCCCGTGTTATTTTTTGGACACCATGCCTGGCATAGGATTTTTAGGACTTTAAAAGGCACAGACGGCATCGTTTCTAGAACACAGCAGAAGCTCTCTTTGCAGTCTCCAGACTGCCCTTTAAACCGATGACCCATGAATCATCTTTAACCCTCAGATGTTTTTGTTTGACTTACAGAGTTTTCGTTGTTTTTGTTTGTTTGTTTGTTTAACGTGTCCGATTCAGACATGCTTTTAGACAAAACACAGCCTCTCCAGGTCACTGGACTTCTGCTGCACGAGGTCTCTGCCTCTCTGTCCTCTTTCCCACCCCAGCCCTCAAGCATTTGAATGCACGGAGACTGGTCTGCATGAGCCCTCCCTCGTTTTGGAAAAACTGGGGCCCATTCCAGGGAGGTGCGGGTCCCCCGTTCTCAAGTCTGGGCCGCGCAGGAATTAAAGCCCCTGTGTTCTGATTCACTGTGTGGTGACCTTTCCTCCACCCTCGGTCGCTGCCCGGGCAGAGGAGTGTCTAGGCATGAGGGGGTGGAAAACCCTCCAAATAGAACGTCGGCACAGAAACGGACGGAGGCTGCACCGTGCTTCCCAGACCTTCTCCCTGCGTGGTGGCGGACCCAGCTCTCTGGCTGGGCTGTTTCCCTTCCCCGACAGCGCACCAGACTTCCCACTGGCCCATGTGCGTGGGACTGTTGGGCCAGGCTGCGACGATCACACCGTCTGCCTTTGACAGCAGAGCCCTAGCAGGCTGGGGCCTCCAGCCCCCGTTAGACCACCTGGCCCCGTCCAACAAGGGAACAGAAACACCAGCTAGCTTCAGGTAAGTGCATCCTTGCTCGATGGACTTTTGCCAGAAAAGCCTGGTTCCCCTGGGAGGGCTGCGACCCGAGCAGACTCCTGTTCAGTGGGGTTGGGAGGGCAGAAGGTGTTGGCACTAGGATTACTTACCCCCACCCCCATCCCCGCACGCCCCGCCTTTTCTTGTCTTATGGTGTTTCTGTTCATGTGTCGTGAATGATTTCTCTCTTCCTCCAGAGAACTGAGTGTTGTAGACCTCGGTCTGGGGGCCCAGACCCTGGTTCGTGGCCCTCAGTTCCCTCAGTGACGGTTGCCACTCCCCCTCTGAACTCAGGGCCGATGCTTCCTGGGTAGCGGGAGAGACTGTAATGAATCCCCCTGATGACCACGTGACGTACGTGCGTCCTGAAGGACAAGAACTAGGTGCTGTGAGAGGGCGTAACCCAACACCTGGCTCACCTGGGAGAGGGTTGATGGGGTGGTAGCCCTGGGAGAGTGGACGGCAGAGGATGTTCCAGAAAGAGGGAACGGTGTACGCAGAGGCCTGCTAGGGGAGGAAGGAGGCTGTCTGGATCACTGAAAGACACCTGTGTGACAATACCTTGGGAAAGGTTTTGTGGATACTGGCAGTCGGGGGTTACTAAGGAGGAAGAGTTCGGCTGGAGTAAAAAGCAGAAAAGCTGAGAAGTAGCAAAGGTAGATCTCCAACCCCCTCGTTTTATAGGACCCCACAGAAATGACTCTCATTTACCACTTACTTCCTGACCTTAAAACCCTGGAAGTTAAACTGTGTCGCGGGGCCCAGCTGTTGACTGCAGGTGCCCTGTGTCAGAGCCGCTGCCCAGCTCCTCCCTCAGTGGCTGGGGCCTCGCAGAGCCCCTGGGCTCGGAGCCCAGTGCTGGGGTCAGAATCCAGAGTCCAGCACAGCCATTGCTGGTGGTTCATCTCCAACGCCTCCCCCAACCGCAGCTACGCCCTAGGAGAGCACAGAGGCTCCAGAGGGGCAGGAGGAGTGGGCGAGCCAGCTGGGGGCGCCGGGCCCCTCACGGGACCAGCTGGGCTCCCATCCCCACCAGGTTAAACGTGTTGTGCAGTCAGTCACATCCACGGCCACGCAGAAACCTTGCCTCGGACTCCCCCCACCCCACCCTTGCTCACAATTGAGTTCAAGAACAGAATGAGATGATAGACCAGCCGTGGAGCAGGTGCAGTGGACAGAGGGGCAGGAACACAGACTCTGGAGTTAGACTTGGGGGCTCTCTACCACGTAGTAGTCACGTGACCGTGGCGAGTCACCGAACTACATGAAGGAGCAGTTTCTCCTGCAGGCGCGGGAATACTACTTGCTTCACAAGACCGACCCAGTTACAAAGCACACCTCAGTGTTCAAATTTTATTTCCTTCTCCTGCCTGCAGCGGCACATGCTGTTATTTCCGGGAGCCACAGCAAATACAGGCCTGGATCTGGAAGCCTTCAGAGCTGGTAGACAGCCCGAAAGATCCAGATTCTACTCTGTCTCCTCTTTCCTTAGTTGTGGCATCCCAGGAGATACAGACCTGTTTTCTCAGCTTCCGATGACCAAAACAAAAGCACACGAACAAACAAAAAACCCGACACATTTAGGAGACGGGAAATCTTATTTGAACACAGGATGCAAATCTTATTTTCAGACACATTTTTGAAAACAGCACAAAACTCGGTCCTTGTGTTAGAGGATTATCTACTTAACACCGCTTCAGGACACGACATTTGTGTGTGCGTGTCACAGCAGAGGTTAAACAAAGATTGCTAATGTTCTGACCCTTACTTGAGGCTGGGAAGGTGGACCCCAGGCTCTTCCTGAATAGGGCGCATCAGGAGTTGCCCCCGAGCAGGTGAAACTCACCTGGCTCGAACCTCCTAGGCAGATGGGACGCTTGTTTCCTGATGACGTGACATAGTGTCAGAAGACACTGCGTGCTGTGAAATGTTTTCGAGAGCAGGGGGCGATGCTAATGAAAACAGTAACGCATTCTCATAATAGCTCTGGGATACTTCCCTCCATCACATGTGTAATAAACTGTTAGGACTGGTTGTCCAGGGTCAGCTAGACTCCATGAGTTTTGTATTGCCACCGTCTGTGCGACGCGTCAGCCGCGACTTTCACATTCCTTGGGCATCCCTGGCTAGGTCCGCTCTGTGCCTCTCTCACGGACCGCGATGTCCCGCCCCAAGTGGAGCTGCAAGAAGACAGGGCAGCACCTGGGTCTTCCGGTTGTGTCTTCCTTCTTTCTTCAATGAGATCCTCTTCTTCTGGAAGCTGGTTTCACATGGTGGCTTAGATTTTTCCATCTTTGTATCTAGCACCATTTGAAATCAGTGTTTTAGGAGTAAGAATTGCGGCGCAGCAAAGGGCCACCTGCAGAGGAGCTCTCGCTGGTGGGACAGAGCCCCTCCTTCTGCCGCCTGAGCCGGTCCAAGAGAGGAAGAACTTGAAAAGGAAAAGTGCGCCGCAGCGTATGTCCGTTGCGGGTTGTGGAGGGGCGGCCGTGCGGGGAGGGTGTTTGTGTTTCAGAGAAACTCCGAGCTGGAGCAGGGGCCGAGGTGATGCCTGGTTGTAGCACCTGGGAGCACCACCGGGCACTCACCTGTCCGTAGGGCCTCTGACCGCGGGGACCAGGCGATGCCGGCTCCTCCGGTACTCGATGGTAGCGGGGGAGGGGCGAGGCTGTGTGCCTGGAGGACGGTTCCATCCGCATCGGCGTTGCACCCCCTCCTAGAGGCCCCGGAACACCCAGCTGCACTTGCAGTGCGGCTGGAATCAGACTTGCCGCCTGCACGGTCAAGTGCCGGACCCCCGGGAGCACCACTGGACCCATCTCTTACACAGGCTGACCGATTTCTCCTGGTGTTCAGAGTCTGTTTTTGTCTAGCACCATTTGAAATCGGTTATGATGTAGGGGGAAAAGCAGCAGCCTCGAAACCTCACGCCAAGTCTGGTGAGCAACAGCCTCTGTTCTCCTGGAAGACGTGGTCTCCCGGAAGACGGATGGGCAGAGCCTGGGGAAGGACGATCACGCTTTTGTCACTAACTTCTTTCACTGCATTAATGATACCTTATTGCGGAGGTAAGAGAGAGTTGAATGCAGTTTTAAAAACAAATCGCTGTAACCTATCTGATGTCCTGGGGTGCAGTTTGCTAAAATGTGGCAATGCTGTGTATTCTGTAAATGGCTGCTGTCGAATTCTCTTTCTGTTAAGAGTCTCTTCATGCATCTTGACCTGAATAAATATTTTACTCTCTTCAATCAATCGTGTCTTTGTTTTTCATCTGATCATTCTCTGTTCGTAATGCCATGAGAAGTGGGGTCCTGCAAATGTTAACTTGCTGTGCAGACTTACCTACTTCCTAAAGGACTGGAGGAGGTTACGGCAGACACACGTTAAAAACGAAGCCCGTTAAGATAAGAATGAGGTCCTGTGAGCCAAGAAATAAAATGAGAGAAAAGATCACGGAAAAGAGAAATGTTCGAGCCTGGGCTGAGGGATGCTCCTTTTTGAAGGGGAAACTGAGGCTGGTTCCGAATGGGCTGCAGGCAGCCCTGGCCCCTCTGCGGTCGGTGTTCCTTCGGGAAGCTTTTGCACAACCGAACATACTGCCACATGACTGGTAAAGGGGAGCAGCCTGATGATTTCAGCTGCTTTATAAAAGACGCAGGAGGGGGTACCTGGGTGGCTCCGTTGGTTAACCATCCGATTGTTGATTTCGGGTCAGGTCATGATCTCACGATTTGGGAGTTCGAGCCCCGAGTCAGACTGTGTGCTGACAGTGCAGAGCCTGCTTGAGCTTCTCCCCCGCCCCTCTCCCTCTCCCTCTCCCTCTCCCTCTCCCTCTCCCTCTCTCTCAAAATAAACTTAAAAGAAAAAAATGCAGGAGATCTACTTTTTGGTTCTTCGTTTCTATCACCGTTGAAGACAGGGTGAGCCAGTTCCATGAAGGTATTCAGCAATTAGCCAGATTTTACTTCATGGGGGATTAAGCCTGGGGAATCTTCAGGGCTGTGGCCCCTTGAGTGAGCATTTTGCACAAGACAAATGCGGCCAGCTACTAGCTACCTATGGTACTTCATGCCAGCGGCTCTCGGTAAGTGGTCGCAGCTCTAGCACCTGGGAAGCTTTTCTAAGTTCACGTCCCCCAGATGGCTGCCCCGCCTGGCGGGGGGGGGGGGGGGGGGGGGGTGAAGCATCTGCTGGGAAGACTGCCCAGGGAGGGTGACACACCCCCTCCCTGCAGCTGCAATGCTATTTCGGGCTGTTGATTGAAGAATCCGTGTTCTCATCCCCAGGATGTGATGGTGGCGATGGTTTTATTCCCTCCCTGGCCGCGCTAGGTGCAGTAGGACCTGTGGGTCTAACAGCTTTGGCCCAGTTGTAGCGTGTTCAGCCAACTTTTGATTCCCCTACCGAGTCCCAAGCTCCAGCCTCAGAGTTGCACCAGGGATTCTGCCCTCGGGTTATGCTGATTCCGGCCACCCAAATGCTGGAAGTGCCGGAAGACCGGGTTTAGTATCAAAGCACAGAAACAGTGACTTGAGACGCCTTTTCTGAAAAGGGGGTCCCTCGTGCTGCCACCGAGTGCTAGGTCACGAGAAGCAAAGTGCACGCATAGCTGCGGTGCCTCTCACACAGGATTATTTTACTTTATTCGTCTAGATGCTGACAGCCCTTTACTTAAAATTGCCATTCCAGGGGCGCCTGGGTGGCGCAGTCGGTTAAGCGTCCGACTTCAGCCAGGTCACGATCTCGCGGTCCGTGAGTTCGAGCCCCGCGTCAGGCCCTGGGCTGATGGCTCAGAGCCTGGAGCCTGTTTCCGATTCTGTGTCTCCCTCTCTCTCTGCCCCTCCCCCGTTCATGCTCTGTCTCTCTCTGTCCCAAAAATAAATAAACGTTGAAAAAAAAAATTAAAAAAATAAATAAAATTGCCATTCCAGGTTGGGTTTTCATAACAAATTAGTGAGCAGAATGTTTCTTCTGGAGACTTTTTGTTTTGTTTATTTTTGAGAGTGAGCAGGGAAGGTGCAGGGGGGGCGGGGGGCAGACAGACAGTCCGGAGCGGGCTCCATGCTGACAGCACAGAGCCCACTGTGGGGCTTGAACCACGAACCGTGAGATCATGACCTGAGCCAAAGTCAGATGCTCGACCGACTGAAGCACCCAGGCGTCCCTCTCCTGGAGACATCTTGAATCTGTTTTTAAGGCCACGCTATCGACCTAGATAGGAAATGCCATGTCAGGCATGGGTGCCCATCACCTCAGTTTTACCACATCTTTAGCTGTAGGTGTCTAAGTGTAGAGGGAGGATTGGATCTAAGCCTCATGGAAATTGGAAACTGGCGACTAATTCCCGTCTGTGAAAATGAGTGCAGGTGAATTAATATGACACAAATCCAACCTGACCAATTGAGGTAAAACAGAATGTTTTAAGTCTTGAAACTGGTAATTCATGGAAGATGTTGGCCTGGCCTGCAACGAGAAGCTGGTGGATGTTTTAGGGGCTACCTAGCAGACTAGGGTGTCCATATTTGGGGTAAGGTTAAGAACATTCCTTGAACACAAGTCATACTTTGGGTTTATACTAACCCAGTAGTGTTCTACAGTTAGATTCACCCAAGTAGCCTTTGAATTAGTGATACTTCAGGCCCACCTGTACGGGTTCTGGTTATACTGTTTTAGGGGCTTACATTTTTGTTCTAAGGTTTTTCCAGATGATTCTGATTGGCAGCAACGGGTGAGAGCCGCTCCCCTGTGGTCTTGTTCTAAAAGGCTTTCTACTCCAATTGCGGTGGGAGGACCCCTAGCAAGGGTGTATTCATGTTCTGTAACAAGTCCCACAACTTGGTGTTGGTCTTAGTCCCCTCGGGCTGCTGTCAGAAAATACTAGACTGGGCAGTTTATAAACAACAGATATTTCTTTTTTGGATGCTGGGAAGTCCAAGATCAAGGCGCTGGCAGATTCAGTGTCGGGGGAGAGTCAGCTTTCTGGTTCAAAGACAGTGCCTTCTGGCTGTGCGTTCCCAGGGCAGAGGGCCTGAGGGAACTCTCTTGGACCTCTTCTGAATAGGGCACTAAACCCATTCATGACCTAATCCCTTCCCAAAGGCCCCACCTCCTAATACTATCACATTGGGGGTCAGGACTTTAACAGGATTTTCGTGGGACACATTCACACAGTGATTGTCTTACCACACAGGAGCTGGGTGGCTCAGTTGGTTAAGCATTTGACTCTTGATTTTGGCTTGTGACCCCGGGGTCCCGGAATCAAGCCCCAGAGTCCATGCTCATTATAGATGGAGGCTGCTTAAGATTCTCTCTCTCCCCGCCGTTCCTCTACCCTGTTTACGTACATTCTCTACAACAAAAACAAAAAAACACATCATTTATTTTAGTTCTGGAACTAAAATAAAAAACACATCATTTATTTTAGTTTAGTTATCAAAAGTGTGATATCATTTCACTAGGCTGAAATGAAAGCATTGGCAGGGCCGGTCTCCCTCCAGAGGTCCTAGAAAAAACCGTTTACTTGCCTTTCCCCACTTCTAGAGCTGCGTCCTTTGGCTTGCGGCCCCTGCCTCCATCCTGACGGCCAACAGCAGAACATTCTGCTTCCGGCTCACGCCTCCTTGTGCTGCAGTCCGGTCCCCCCTGCCTTCCCTTCTAGGGAACCTTGTGATTACATTCAGGGCCCCACCCAAGATCCCATCTGCAAAGACCCTCTGCCAGAGAGGTGACACTCACAGGTGTCAGGTGTTAGGACTGTGAAATCTCTGGAGGCCATTAGCCTACCACAAATGGCAGTAGGTAGAACTCATGGAAATGCTGAACCCTGGCCCCACCTGGGACCTAGGGAATCAGAATCTGCATTTCAAAAAGACTTACTACACACGAAATTGAAGCGCAGTCCCATGGGGTCCTACACCGGGAATTCTCCAATAATGAACATCGATTACAAATGGAAGGGGTGTTTTCCTGGGAGCCTTTTCAGGTGGCGCTGGGTGACCAGTTGACCATTTTCCCAAACACCATAACTGTCATCTAAACAATGGTGG